ACACACACACACACACACACACACACACACACACACACACACACACACACACACACACACACACACACACACACATCACACACATATTTATGTATACATGTATGTATATATATTATGCTTAATAAAAAAAACACAGGACACGAACTAAGTTTATTGATAATGAGGGAACAGTTTCGAGAAAATGTACGCATAATATATATATATATATATATATATATATATATATATATATATATATATATATATATATACACACATACATACATACATACACACACATATGTATATATTATATATGTACACACACACACACACACACACACACACACACACACACACACACACACACACACACACACACACACACACACACACACACACACACACACACATATATATATATATATATATATATGTATATATATATATATATATATATATATATATATATATATATATACATGCATGTATACAGTATGTGTTTTTTTCCTATCACTTCCCCTAACCAGTCTCTTGCTTTCGGGGCCCCTATTTTGAGACCTATAGAATGTGAACTAAGTCCATCATGGGCCCCAACAAGTCCTGCGGGCCCTAAGGCCTGTGGCATTTCACCGTTAAGGCCACTATTGGTGCGCCACTGGTCCCTCCTCATTCCTAATCTTCCATTCCTAGGAGTTCCCATGGAACCCTGCGAAATCTACGCAGGAGGCTGTCACCATTGCCACTGACAAGGGCAAGTCGGTGTTGGTTCTCGGCCGTGCCTCCTACCTGCAGAATGCCCAGGACCTGTTGGACGACACTTCAACCTATGTATCCCTGACCAGCGACTCCCGGGAACGCATTCTACCACCGTCCTTAGAGAAGTTAACATTCCGTCGACATGAACCGAATTTCTACTATAGTTACAAGGTCATCAGTCGTCTCCCTTATTTCTATGGGTTTCCCAAAGCCGTCAGCCGGGCATGCCTCTGCGCCCCATCATTTTCTCCCTGGGATTTGTGACGCTGACGCGCCCCCTTGCACCCTAGGGCGGCTGGCGCAGTCTCTCACTCCCCTTCTTGGCACCTTCGCTCGAGCTCACCTGCGCCACTCCCAGGACTTTATCGCCTGTATTCGCGGTGTCTCGTCGGCGACCAGGATGAGCCTAGAAGCTGACCTTAGGAGTCTTATTGATCGCTCTACCCCAGATAATAATGTCATGGAGTCCTCTTTCTCTCCAGTCCTGACCAACCTGTTCATGGAATACTTCGAGTCTGAGCTTCTCCATTCCGCCTCCCTTCGCCCGTCTGGTTGGCTGAGGTGCGCTAACGACGTCTTTGCTCCTCCGGTCTCATGACCCGCTCTCGTCTCCCCCGTCCGTTTCGAGGTGGAATGGGAGGCTGGCAACAGGCTTCCTTTCCTGGATAGTCTCATTCGTCGCGCTGCTGATCATTTCTCCTTGTCAGTATACAGGAAACCCATGCACTGTATGTATGTATGTATGTATATATATGTATATATATATATATATATATATATATATATATATATACATATATACATATACATACATACATATATATATATTAATTAATATATATATATATTTATATATGTATATATATATATATATATATATATATATATATATATATATATATATATATATATATATATATATATGCACATATATCTGCGTGTGTATGTATGTGTGTGTGTGTATATATACATATATGTATACATATACATACACCACCTACTCCATATAAAGAGAGGTGTTGCTACTTTGTTCCTCCGGGTCTGCAACCCTCAGTGTGAAGAAGTTGGCGGCGTATGGGTGGTGGAGAATGAAAAGGGTCTTGCTTGAGTTTATCGAGGGGTAAAGGTGTGACCCCGAGAGTGACCCCGCGCCCCGAGTGCCGAGGGTGGAGAGTGACCTCCTGCCCTGTGACTGCTCTACTAGGTCTTGGTCTGCCTCCGGTGCTCTCTCCCTCTCTGCCTGACAAGACGTCCTTATATCCAGCGACTCCTTGTCCTGCTGGCGGAGGTGCCTCGTACCATATTCTTTGGGTGTCCATTCTTCCGGGCGTGACGAAGGGCTGGTCGCCGGAAGATAAAGTCTTGGGCTGGCAAGGAAGGTGCGAAGCCAGGAAGTAAGGCAACTGCAATGCCTAGGTGTGAAGCCCAGCCCATCCGGTTCTGCATATTGCTGACACTCAGTACCTGGATAGAATGTTCTTGCGATTTCTTACTCTAAACTTTCGGCATGTTCCTGATACCTCGTTATCCGGGG